TTCAAATCAAAATATGAGCTTCTGTTATGAAACAGGATGTTGATTTCATACACGTCCACTGCAGAGGACACCAGGACTTAAAGCATGTTTATAGAGACGTAAAACGTATATATCAATATTCCTATGACATATTAGATATTATTATGAAAATCTTGCTAATTATTACTCCCGTTATTGCACTTATTTGTGCATTCTATGTTGCCCCAAAAACACATTAATATGCAAATTAGATACAGTTTATAGATACATTGTATATAATGGAAAGACTCGTTTAATGGCCATTTTACACACATTTTGCATAAAGAAAAAATTTTTTTTTTAAAAATTTCATAACATAGTTGAGAATCTGAAAATTGATTTGTGATTAAAACAAAAATCCCACTGTTTTTGCCTTTTCATGTCTATTCATGTCTTTTTATTTATTTTTTTAAAAACAGGACTTTTTAAAGTCCCAATGTCCTCTAACATATGCATAAAATATAATTTTTTTTCAAACGTTTTCTTATGCTCTAAACAATGTAATGACATGACAAAATACTAAATTCACAAAACAGTTTTTTCCTGGTAGTCAGGAAGATATAGTGAGAAGCAAATTCTGAGAATTCAAGAATACTTGTACAGTACGGGTTAATACACATTACCAGTCAAAGTACTGGTAAATAAAGATAGAGTAAAAACTGTAAAATTGTGAAATAGTTTTACAATTTAAAATAGCTGTTTTCTATGTGAATATCTGTTAGAATGTAATTTATTTCTGTGATCAAAGCTGTATTTTCAGCATCATTACTCCAGTCTTCAGTGTCACATGATCTTCAGAAATCATTCCAATAAGCTGATTTGCTGCAATATTCTGATTATTAGCAATATTTTTACTCAAGTAAATGCAAAAATCACTTTTCAAAAAATCATAATTATTCCAAACTTTTGTCTGGTAGGGTTTATTTTTATAGTTACACTCAGTGCTAAAATCTTACTTCTTCATCTGAAATTCACTCTTTGCGTATGTTTTAATCACTAGTGGATTATTTTACTTTTTAACCCTTTCAAAATGATTAGCGAATTAAAACCATTTAATGTGTTACCATCTGGGGTGCCTTAGCAATCCTTTATTTATTTAATTAGTATTTAAATAGTATTAAATATTAAATATAATTATCATTATTTATTCATTATTATTGTATTATTAATGAATTATTATTTATAGTAACATTAATAATAATAATAATAATATAATTATTATATTTATTTATTTATCAGATATATTTTAATATAATTTATAAATAATAAATGTATTATTAATAATAATAAGTAAATAAATAAAAAGTAAACTAAATGATATTTATAATTAATTAATGTTTGTTTAAACTATATGAACAATTTTCTTGTGAAAACAAAAATTTATATTCTCAGTTATTGGTGAATAATATATTTTGCATTTGGTTATATTTTGTGTTTCTCAGATCACCAAAGGACTGAAGCTGACCTTTGACACGACCTTCTCACCAAACACTGGGTACGATGACGTGAAGTATCTTGAGCTTGAGATGAGGTGATCTCTGAGGTTTATATGTGACCCTGCAGCACAAAAGCAGTCGCTGGGGTATATTTGTAGCAATAGCCAACGTGGGCTGTGATGTGGATTTCGACTTCGCCGGTCCTGCCATCCACGGAGCAGCGGTGCTGGGATACGAGGGCTGGCTCGCCGGATACCAGATGACCTTTGACACCGCCAGGTCCAAAATGACCCGCAGCAACTTCGCAATCGGATACAAGACCGGAGACTTCCAGCTGCACACTAATGTGTAAGAAATGCACCGGCGGCGGTGCTTCAGCAACCCCTCATTAGTTGCTTAATATTGATTCATGTTGTTATTTTATATAAAAAAAATTATATTATTATGAATATTGTTTATTGCTATTATTATTAGTTTATCATTAATATATATATTTATTGTTTATCGTAATATCAATAATAAATTATCATATTCTATTAGTATTTATAATTAAAATAAATAATAATTGTTTAAATTATTACAAATAATCATTATTTATTAACAGATGATACTATTAATGATACTACTACTAATTATTGTTATTAGTACTAGTATTTTGTTTGTAATTAATAAACAACTATATGAAAATATAATTTTATTAATATGTGACCCTGGAGCACAAAAGCAGTGTTAAGTCGCTGGGGTATATTTGTAGCAATAGCCAACAATACATTGTATGGGTCAAAATTATTGCTTTTATTTTATGCCAAAAATCATTAGGATATTAAGTAAATATGTTTACTTCATGTTCCATGAAGATATTTTGTACATTTCCTACCGTAAATATATCAAAACTTAATTTTTTATTAGTAATATGCATTGCTAAGAACTTCATTTGAACAACTTTAAAGATGATTTTCTCAATATTTAGATTTTTTTGCACCCTCAGATTCCAGATTTTCAAATAGTTGTATCTCAGCCAAATATTGTCCGATCCTAACAAACCATACATCAATGGAAAGCTTATTTATTCAGCTTTCAGATGATGTATAAATCTCAATAAAAAAAAAAACTGACCCGTATGACTGGTTTTGTGGTTCAGGGTCACATTTGATATTAAATATTAAAATAATAATACAATTCCTATTATTTATAATGTATAAACTACAATTATTATTTATTAATTATTTTAAATAATTATTTATTAACTGATGCTACTACTACTGCTAATTATTACTATTATTATGATTATTATTACTACTACTACTACTACTACTACTACTTATAATTAATAAACAACAGTTATTAGTGAAGTGTGAAGTGAGTATTATTATTTGAAAAATATTTTATTAATTTGATATTATTTATAACTATTTATAATTAATAATTTATTTTTAGTTATTATTATAAATAATAATAAATAACAAAAATATTATATTATTATTATTATAAATAACAACTGCTATTGTTTTTATTTTTTAATTAACAACAGTTATTATTATTTAGTAAATCTATTTTTTTATTAATTTATATAAAATTATTATCATTGGTGTTTATAATTAATAAGCAACAATTATTCTTGTTAATTATCATAATTATTTATCAGCAATGATGATGGTAATATTTATAATTATTATTTATAATAATAAATACAAATATTTATTTACTAATTACCTACTGGCACATAGCCGGTGTTGATTGTAAATGTATCAATACTCATGATCCTTTGAAGCCCCGTGTGTTTCTAGTTCAGAAGATTCCCTGTAGACTCCTCAATAACCTGCTGTTTAACGTGACAGAGCTGCATGATGTGAGGAATGATGGTCTCTGTTTGTGTCGTAGGAATGATGGGATGGAGTTTGGCGGCTCCATCTATCAGAAAGTGAGTGATGATCTGGAGACGGCGGTGAATCTGGCCTGGACCGCCGGCAATAACAACTCACGCTTCGGCATCTCCGCCAAATACATGCTGGACTCCAGCTCCTCTATTAGTGTGAGTGTCACTGTGATCCATCTGAACACACATCGCTGTCATATAATCTGACATACGGGAGAGATTAGAGGCACAGACGGCACTTTATTATAATGAGAGCAATTAAGTTTTGCGTCGTGGCACTCACAGCCGACATATGCTTTCTCATTGTTAATGACTACAATCCTGTTGTTTTTGCCGCTGATCTGCTGGTATCTGCGTTTCTGTCACTTGCGTGTCATATTTCACAATTTGCACTTTGATTTGAATTCAGTTTCACCATACAAAGACTCTGCTTTTGCAGAAGTCAACTGACTTTGACTGTTTTGTTGGTTTTTGTAACTTTAACAGTCATAGTTATGTATCTTATGTATCTTCACAAAATGCCAGTGTGTATTGTGATTATATACTGTGATCATGATCTAAAATTGGTCATACTGCCCACCTCCGTTTTGTAAGACGACAAGAATCCTGAACCTGACCATTCCTGACTGTAGGCGTGTCTTTCTGTCAGAGAGATGCATCAGTCATTTAACAGCCTTTGTGTTTGTCTCTCAGGCTAAAGTGAATAATTCCAGCCTGGTTGGGATCGGCTACACTCAGACCCTCAGACCAGGTGAGTGTTATATCAATCACACCATCCAGGTAAACCTCTGATTATTTTATTTTATTATTTTATTTTGTTTAACATGACGGAGCTGCATGATGTGAGGAATGATCGTCTCTCAGTTTGTTTCGTTTTATTGTATTTGATTTATTTTCATATAAAATATTTATTTCTTTTTATTTTGTATACAATTTTTTTGTTATTTTTTTATATTGTTTTGTATAAAATATTTGTTTTGTTTATTTTTGTTTTTAATTAATTTTATTATTTCATTTGATTTTGTTTAATTTTCGTTTTATAAAAATATTTCTTAATTTTTTATCTTTTTGTTTTGTACATTGTTTATTTTGTTGTTATTGTTTATTTTTTATTAAATATTTTGATTGTTTTTATTTAATTGTTTTTTTATCTTATTTCAGTTTTTGTTTGAAATATATATATTTTTTTTTTCATTTTTTAAATAGTTAGATTTTTAACATGATAAAAAATATGTATAAAACTGGAAGAACTGATGTAATTCAACAGTTGTAAAATCATCCCCCTTTTTTTTGTACTGTTCTATGTTGCTTTAATGTCAAAGTAAAAACATAATATCCAAAAAAAAAAAATTTATTTTAAATTTTCTCATAAGCAGTAGGGTTAGCATGTAAGCGCAGCATCAGTGCTTTTTTATACTGGCAGTGTTTCTATCATATTCTGTGCAACCTGGAACATGAGTGCTGAAATTAATATCTGGGTAAATCTCACAAAATGAAGCCATGACCATGTCATATTTCACTCAAAACCAAAAGAATCAAGTATTTATTTTACAGAAAAAACACTTCTAATTTTTTCCCATTTGATTCTGGTGTGAAATATGAGACGGATGTGAGTTTGCATGAGTTTGACTTAAGATGCGTCTCTTGCGTCTAATGCAAACTGTGTGTGTGTGTGTGTGTGTGTGTCTCTGTGTGTGTGTGTGTGTGTGTGTCCAGGAGTGAAGCTGACGCTTTCTGCCCTGGTTGATGGAAAGAACGTCAACGCTGGAGGCCATAAACTGGGTCTGGGGCTCGAGCTGGAGGCGTAACACCCGGCGCGTTGCGTTTCTCACGAGATCATCCGGGAAGGGAAGAGTCTGAAATCTCCACACGCAGACAAACGCTGAACCCAAACCTGCGCCTTGTCTCTTATTTATTTGCAGCACTACCGTTTCTGTCAATATTTCTCTCCAAAACGGCACTTTCAATCTGTACGTGCATTTTCTTAGGAATAGGTAACCAAAAATGTAAATTATTATTATTTACTCATCCTCATGTTGTTGCAAACCTTTATTTTGCTATATCTAAATATTTATGCAGCTCTTTTTTTCTAAACAACAACAGTGACCACGACTGTCAAAAAAAAAAAAGCACACAATATAAAATAATCTATATGATTTGTGCACTACATACAAAGCTTTATGTGAGCAACATAATTATACTTTGATAATTTTATGACTTTATGTCCTTTTTGGAGCTTGACAGACTTAGTCAAACTGTTGTTGTGTGGAAAAGATTGTGTAAAGCTAAGCACATCTGTGTTTGGATCGCCATGAGGGCGAGTCCTTTTAATTTTGGCCTCGTGCCGCTGCTGTCTAGTGATGTCCGGATGCTTTTGTGGTAGTTCGGCTTTATCGTCCTCCTCTCTCTGTATTCAAGCTTTATGGTGTTCAAACGGGTTCTTTCGTCGTGAGATGTTGCGGTTGTTTCCAGACAGATGAGCGAGACGAGAGGCTTTCCCTGCTCAACCACACAGTCACTCCCTTCTGTATGTAGACCTTTGCAATAAAGTCCTAAATCTGGAATTTTTTGTGTTATGAACTATATTTAAATAATGGATTTTTTTTAAACTATCCAAACATAAATAATAAAATGATATTATGTTGGAGCACAAGGTTTCTGAGCTAGGATTGGTCAGTGATGTTTTAGGGCGGGGCTTAGCGAAAGTCCGAAATCGCATACTTCCCTACTATACAGTATGCGAAAAACAGTATGTGAGGCGAGTAGTTTGTCCGAATAAAACAGTAGAATTCAAATTCAAATGTAGTATGTACTCAGTATGTGATTTCGGACGCACCGTCAATTTTAACGCCGACAGAGCGAGGTGAGGTTAAAGTGGAGAAACATTTAATATTGAGAGACGAGAGGCTTTCCCTGCTCAACCACACAGTCACTCCCTTCTGTATGTAGACCTTTGCAATAAAGTCCTAAATCTGGAATTTTTTGTGTGTTATGAACTATATTTAAATAATGGATTTTTTTAAACTATCCAAACAAAAATAATAAAATGATATTATGTTGGAGCACAAGGTTTCTGAGCTAGGATTGGTCAGTGATGTTTTAGGGCGGGGCTTAGCGAAAGTCTGAAATCGCATACTTCCCTACTATACAGTATGCGAAAAACAGTATGTGAGGCGAGTAGTTTGTCCGAATAAAACAGTAGAATTCAAATTCAAATGTAGTATGTACTCAGTATGTGATTTCGGACCCACCGTCAATTTTAACGCCGACAGAGCGAGGTGAGGTTAAAGTGGAGAAACATTTAATATTTGACATCCGTTTTTTTTTTACCATAGAAAAGTTAAACGACCGACTGTAATATCCAGTGATGCAAATTACTCAACTTTTTTTCTCAAATATGGTCGTTTTGAACTGAAAATATGTTGTTTACGTGATTCATGTAATTCATAACTGAATGAGTTTTGCAAAATCTGGAATCTGAGGGTGCAAAAAAATCTAAATATTGAGAAAATCGCCTTTAAAATTATCCAAAGGAAGTTCTTAGCAATGCATATTACTAATCAAAAATGAAGTTTTGATATATTTACGGTAGGAAATTTACAAAATATCTTCATGGAACATGATCTTTACTTAATATCCTAATGATTTTTGGCATAAAAGAAAAATCAATAATTTTGACCCATA